CCGGTCCAACCTGGCGGAGCATTCGCGCACGCACACGGGCGAGCGGCCCTACCCCTGCACCGAGTGCGGTCGGCGCTTCCGCCTCAGCTCCCACTACGTCCGCCACCGTCGTGCGCACGTGCTGCACCGTTGCTATATCTGCACTGTGTGCGGCCAAGACTTCAAGCTGCCCCCCGGCGCTACGGCCGCCAGCGTCAGCGAGCGCTGCCCAGGGTGTGAGAGTAGGTGAGCCCCCTTGTCGCTGCGGCTGCTAGTGTCTGGCTGAGGAGGCGCATGCCAGGGCCCTGACCCCCAGGGGCTGGACTAACTGGACAAGGACTGCAGGACCCTGGTCTGGGAAAGGGTGGGGTGGCAGAACTGGCTGCCCGGGACCTGGGAGACATGGCAAATCCCCTACTGGGATTTTTGGGAACAGTGGCCTCTCCCACTTCATTACAAATCCTCCACCCGTGTTAGTGAATAAAGTATTATATCCTGGCGCACATGTGCCCGCGAATGAGTAGATGGGGAGAGGAGCAAAGTTGGGGTATTCCCCAGGCCTAGGTGACTTAAGTGAATCGTCACGGAACCAAGTGGGTGTCTATAAGCCCAAAAGGGTTCCTGGAGCTGGGTTTGTGTGTGTGGAGTCAGGATGAAGCTGAAGGGGCCGACAGTATCAGTGCCCTTGCCCCCGCCCTGCCTCCCCAGGCTTCTCCCCACCCACAGCGGACATGTCACCCACTGAGCTGCTGCCCAGATTGCACTATGAACCCCCAGCTCAGCTCGGAGCCCGCCTCTAGAGGCTCTGGCCAATCACAGGCGTTAGCGATTGCTTCCGGGGGCGGAGCCACAGGAAAGGCCAGTTACTTGTGTGGACCTTGCTATAGCCCGCCCCTTACCTGGACTGGACCAATAGGAGCAAGCTTCAGTCGTGCGCTGAGGCCTCTGCGCTGGAAACGTTGGCCAAGCATCTTAAAAAGGTGTGGATACCAAACTATTTGAGATATTCTATTGTAGTGGTTTTCAACCTTCCTAATGTCGTGACCCTTTAATACAGTTCCTCATGTTGTGGTGACCCCCAACCATAAAATTATTTTCGTGGCTACTTCATAACTGTAATTTTGCTACTGTTATGAATCGTAATGTAAATATCTGATATGCAGGATGTATTTTCATTGTTACAAATTGAACATAATTAAAGCATAGTGATTAATCACAAAAACAATATGTAATTATATATGTGTTTTCCGATGGTCTTAGGCGACCCCTGTGAAAGGGTCGTTCGACCCCCAAAGGGGTCGCGACCCACAGGTTGAGAACTGCTGTTCTATTGAGTGATTAATAGATGTTTCAGACCACATGCTAAAATTAAAGCCAGAAAAATGTTCAGTGTGGATAGATTTCAGCAAATCACTGATCATTCTATCTAGAAGACCTCATCAATAATACCTCCATTATTGCTCTCTCCCTCTAGGGAGCATGCCCGTGCCATTCCCCCACAGGAGCGTGTCTCCTAACCTCTAAGGGACCCCATGAGACTTGCAACCAGGAGAGCAATGGGCAGTGTCAGCTCCTCCCTGGCTAACCCACTGAACCTGTCTCCAAGCCCCCTTTTCTCTGACCTCCCAGGGAGCCAAAGCAGCCCAGCCTGGGCTCTTGTTGCTTCTATGCCCTTCCTTGTTTCACTGCCCTAAGTATGTTTTTGCTGCACCGCAATAAATTCTTGCTTGCTTTTGTACAATAATCCTATATAATCTTTATATATAAAACCCTAATATGTGCTCTAACCGGTTTGGCTCAGCGGGTAGAGCGTCAGCCTGCAGACTCAAGGGTCTCAGGTTCGATTCCGGTCAAGGGCACGTACCTTGGTTGCGGGCACATCCCCAGTAGGCGGCGTGCAAGAGGCAGCTGATCGATGTTTCTCTCTCATCGATGTTTCTAACTCTCTATCCCTCTTCCCTCCTCTCTGTGAAAAATCAATAAAATATATATTTTTTAAAAAACCGTAATATGCAAATAGACTGAACAGCGGAACAACCAAACAACTGGTCGTTATGACCTGCACTGACCACTAGGGACCACGCATGAAACATGGCAGGTGTTGGCAGCAGGCGGCAGAGTGCGGAACATGGCAGGTGGTGGAGCAGGTGAGGGGAGGTGCCAGACCAAGGCAGGGCGCCAGTCACTGTCATCGGGGCGAGCCTCTAGTGGTTACTGAAAATTCTTTGCTCCCGTGTGCCGTGGTCCCACCTGGTGCTTGCACCTGCTGCCAGCGCCAGCCCTGATCACTTGGCACCATCAGCAGGTGCGAATGGCGGCTGCCAGCCCCGATCGCCCCTGAGGCTTCTCCACCTCCCTCTGCTCCTGAGGGGCCATTGGGGCAGCAGCTGCCACTCGCACCTGCTGCTGGCGCTGGCCCCAATCAATCCTCGCCATCAGTGGTGCTAGTGGGACAGCGCCGTCAGCACTTGGGAGCAGCAGTGGAAGTGGAGCTGCTGGCAGACAGGGGACTGGAGGCCGCGGTGGAAGGGGCCAGGCAGGGGCATGGAGGATGGGCCGAAATCTGCCCCCATGCCCACCACAGCCTACAGTTCCTTTCAAGGTGCATGAATTCATGCACTGCGCCCCTAGTAATAATAAGTAATACCTCTCTTATAGAGGTAATGCAAAACCTGAGCCAATTACACAAACATGATGCTTGCTATAAGATGTCAATAGGAATATCAAGAAACCTTAGGTGCCTAACTCAGGAATGGGTCAGTAAAACTATTGCTAAGGCCCTACTGTGAGACTCAAGCTAAGGAACGGTCAATCCCATCTGATAAGATGTCCCTCTGATAACCAGGCAAACCAAATTTACAAACTTTGGCAATACTTAAGCAGTTGTATGCCTTACCTTTAAAATCAACTTGATTCTTACTATGGCTCAAGGAAGTTCCATACTCAGTACTGTAATCCAAGTAACAATCCTAGGTCGGTACCATTAGCATGATGACCATTTTGTTGATAAGGAAACAGTTACCTAAGCCTTTACCTATTAGGTCTTGTGTTATTGCTTTCTTACTCAGATTTTTGCATTAACACCAGTCGATCCCACCTCTCTTTCATATTTTTAGCTAACTAAGGCAATTTCCAACATTCACAACCCCATCTTGAAGCAAATAAAAACTGTAAGAGGGGGAAACATCTGTAGGTGCCAGATTCCACCAGTGGAAGAGGCAGAGCACAGAGGGCTGGGAGAGTGCAAGCGAGTCACTTCCCTTACGGGCATCCAATGGCGGGGAAGGGACATGACGGGGCAGGGAGAAGGGAAGGGCGCTTGGTTAAGAACCCCAGAAATGGATGGTTTAAGAAAAAAGGGGGAATTTATTATAAAGATACAAGGATATCTCCAGAGACCTGGCTGGTGTGACTCCTCCTGTGCTCTGAAAGATTGCCCGTTTGATTTCTGGTCAGGGCACATGCGCATGTTGCAGACTCCATTGGGGAGCTTGCAGGAGGCAGCCCATTGATTTTTTTAAAGAATTGTTTAAAGTATTACATAAGTCTCCTTTGTCCCCGATTGACCCCTCCCTGGCCACTCACACCCCCCAGGACAAACCCCCACTGACCCAGGGTCCGTGTCCATTGGTTATGCTAATATGAATGCATACAAGTCCGTTAGTTGATCTCTTACCCTCCTCCCACCCTCCCCTGCCTTCCCTCTGAGGTTTGATGGTCTGTTCCGTGTTTCTTTGTCTGTGGATCTATTTTTGTTCATCAGTTTATGTTGTTCAGCCCACTGATGTTTGCTCTCACATCAATGTTCTCTCTCTCTCTTTCTCTTCCTCTCTCTAATAATAATAAAAAATAAATCTCCAGAATACAGCTGGGCTTTAGGAATGAACTGGAACCAGGGCAGCTGTTTTAAGCATTCTACATATTTAATCCTTAGAGCAACTCATTTAATCCTCACAACAACCTATGAGGTAGGTAATATCATCGTCCTCCTCCTCATTTTACAGATAAGGAACAGAGATATTGAGTCATTTAACTCAGCAGTCTGTAAAGTGGTAGCCAGGTTTCAACTCCAGGCAGTTTGGCTCAGAGCCTGTTTGGCCTACCCTACTAGTATATTTGGTCAAATGGTAAGTACAGTACTACGAAAACAAATTTTAAATGTATTTAAACATTATGGAAAGTGGGGGCAACTTTAGATTGCATGGCCCAGGGAAGATATGGTAAGGACTATTGTTTATCTACTCAACTGCCCTTTTCACACCTTCGTCTTTGCAGAACAGTGATTTTATTCTGGGGTCCATGTCCGCTACTTGATTATGTGGGTCTGTTGTAGGTGGCAGGAACCGCACCAGGTGTCTGACCAATGAGGTCAGATCAAATCTGGGTTCAGCAATCTCAGTACTTGGGTTCGGGCTAGGAAGAAATTCAGAGCCAAGACTCAAACTGTAAGAGAATATTTATTTGGTAAATCATAGTGTAGAAAAGATAATTCCTAAAAGAAATGGGAACAAGTTATAGAGGTAAAGGAAGAGCCCTTGGAGGTTGCGAGCTAGGAAGCTAATGGTAATGTGCCTGAGGTGGGGAGGGGTGGGGTAGGGTGGAAAGGGTGGGGAAAGGCAAGGGCATGACCCTGGGAGGGAGAGCACACTGGATCTTCCGTCCTAAGGGTTTTAAGTGTGGAGATTTTAGGGGAGGTCCCAGGGGAAGATTTCAATAGAATATTCTTCATGTTTTCAGGTGTGTCCTTTCAGGGTTGTGGTCTCCACTGATTGATTGATCAGCGCCAGGGCAAGGGGTCATATTCAAAGCAGCTGGTCCTGAGGTTGGTTTTGTTGCTTATCTGGGCCTGAAGAAATACAACTGAGGCCCTAGCCGGTTTGGCTTAGTGGATAGAGTGACGGCCTGCAGGCTGAAGGGTCCTGGGAGGCAGCCAATCAATGATTCTTTCTCATCATTGATATTTCTATCTCTCTCCTCTCTCCCCTCTCCCTTCCTCTCTGAAATCAATAAAAATATATTTAAATAAAAAAGGGGAAATACAACTGAGGCGAAGATGTTATCTCTAGGGAGGAAAGGTCAGAGGGTCCAAACCTCATGAGCAGCGATATGCTAGGGGAGGAAAGGTCACCCTGGGGGCAAAGTCTTGCCCTATAATTGATTGGTCCCAGCTAGGCACCTGGGGCTTCTCACTGGTGACCTTTTGTACTTGGCCGATCCTCCTTGCTCTGCTCATGTCTAACTGCTTGAACAGCTCCATTGCCTTACTATTGATTAGTTTATGGGTGAACATGTGGCCGAGTTCTTGACAAGAAGGAGAGAGATAGAGGAAGTCTATTAGAGACTCCTAGGGAAGGTTCTTAATTCTTTTTTAGTTCTTTTTTTAAAAAGACATAGTAAGTTTCTACCTTTGATGTTGGTATGTGAGGATTGGATTATGAGGAGAGCTAGCCCACCAGCTGAGACTGGTAGATAACAAGATGGAAGGGACCTGAATCCATTTATT